AAATTAATTTCTTTTTCCGAGATGCGTAACCTATCCACAAACCTTCCTTAGGATGGCCATAACAATCTACCAAAGTTTCATCGTAATCGGATAAATGGTGTAGGAGCGCATACCCGGATACTCCGCGAACTTTGATTTTTATTTATATAGATACATTGTTCTTCCTAATGAAAATATGAGATGAACCAATGGCGCATCCAGAGTGTAGGTCTGGGGGTGGGGAGGGGGATTAACAAAAATCCAATACACGCTTACTTACCGTCAGAGGCAGCTTGCCGCAGGCTCCCTGAATTTTTTTTGGAGAGTATCACGCCCAAATTATTATGTACCTACCCATAATTTAGTTCACATAGTTTACAATCCAAAAATCGATGTTGAGGAAACATCGATGTTTTTCTATCAATATTTTCTCAACATCGATATCAGCTTTCGATGTTTTATCGATTCCGAAACATCGATGTTTTCAGTTGGATGGGCATCTCTAGTTGTTAGATGTAGGGTAGGTGAGGGTCGAATTTATATTCGTTCCTTGGGTCTTCCTTGAAAAAATTTTGGAGGGGGGGAAAAACATACCTAAATATGACGAATTCGGGCGAAATTTGGAATGCAGGTAAAAGGGGTCTGAAAAAGTTGAAATTTCAAGTTTCAGCTCTCTACGACTTACCGGAAAGGTTTTAGCCCCTATCCCCCCAATTTTGAAAAAGGGCGTGTAATGAATGGGGTATACGCGCCCTGCATTTAATTTTTCGAATTTTGGAAAATTAAAATTTTCATCGGATAGAGGAGCAAAAAATACATCGAAAATGTCTCTAGGCGTTTTTTGCCCCGACGCTTCCTAAGCCCGCAAAAAAATAAAAAAATATTTTTCTCTTGGAAAATTTTGGGGACCTGACACGGCGCCACTTCTTCGCTTATAACTTTGGTGATTCCGAACCGATTATCTTGAATCCAGTTTCTTTTGAAAGAGCATTAAATTACCTATAAATTTGTTTCGTATTGATATTTCAGGTTGTTTCTGTCTGCGAGATATAAGCCGTCAAAGTTGAAATTTCTCTGAAAATGTATTGAAAGATTTGAAGTAGATTTTCTCAAAAACGGTGCCCTGTAGAGGGGTAACTCTAATAAGTTTTTTTGTAGTACTCAATGAGATCTACAACTTCAAGATTCAAGTTGCTAGGATGGCTGAAAGTAATTTTCAGGAACCTTCAAAGGTCGTGAGTTCAGAATGGACACTTGCTACTATGTGACAAGTTAGTCATGTCATTTCTAAACGTTCAAGGCTTCCTTGAGGTCTGAGGAAAGAGGAAACCTAAAGAAGCAACTATAAATTCGGCCCTAAGGCCGGTTTCTCAATAGCAAGTCACCACCGGGTTAAGCATAACTCCATTGCAACTGGACACATAAGGGCCGGTTTCTCAATAGCGAGTCTCCTCCGGATTAATTTTAACTCCAAGGTGAGCTTGTCCAGTTGCTTCATTTACCTTAGAGTTATGCTTAACCTGGAGGTGACCTACTATTGAGAAATTGGCCCTAAGAATCGTTTACTCTGGAGTTAAAACCAACCCAGAGGTGAACCGCTATTAAAACCGACCCTAAGAATTATACAATTAGAAACAATCATCTCAGCATTTCCTGAAACATCACAGAAGAATAGCGAAATTCTTGATTATGGATATTTCTTGAACGCTCTAACCAAAGATCTCAACGAGGAACAGGGCAAATATTCCAGAAGAGCAAGGAAAGGGAATATCAGGGAAAATCAGAAAAAAGGAAATATTGCAAAAATCTAAAAACTAAAAAAAGGACCATACTGAAAACCAATCAGAAGACGATAAAGAAGACTAAACTGGAAAACTGAAGACCAATCAGATGACCATAACCCGAAGACTAAAAAAAAAAACATTCCAGAAAAGACTGGAAGTGATTGGAAATAAAAAGTGAAAGTAAGTGTTATTTTACTACTATTGCCACGTATGTTTCACGTTATTTCATGCTCAAAAATACATAAAACCGAAACTGGAAAAATGAGTGAAAACAACGTCAGATTAAAGCTGACTGGGGATAACTGGCCAGTCTGGAAATCTCAGACCACTATTATTTTGAAAGGGCGAGGTCTTTTCTAGCTTGTTGATGGTTCATGGAAAAAAACCCAGCTCAGAAGATGACCTTAATAAATGACAGTATACAAAGCACAGGAGTTATCAGATAGGTACTTGTATGGACGAGGGTCCTCTAACACATTTGCTATCATGCGAGTCATCAAAAGAGATGTGGACAACACTGAAAACAGTATATTATGTAGTTAGCATCCACTTGCTACAACAGACTCAACAGATAATCTTTCCATAAATTAAACAACCAGAACAAAACATCAATGACTCAGCAGCTGATCTAGTTTCTGAATGTATGAAAGTAAAAAACATAGAAAGTTTAAAAGATTGGCATTGCAAATTAGTTCACCAAAACATCACACATGTCAAAGATTTCTTAAGAAAAATGAACATACAATACATAGTTTGTGAACAGTATTTAGCCGGTAAGCAAAACAGATTAAGGGCGGCTTCTCATGAGCGTAATTTGACATTCATAGCGTGACAGCGTACCTGAATGCTGAATTCTGATTGGCCAAAGTCCCGCCATTTTGGATACGCTGACACTCTGCCGCAGATACGCCAAAAGTTGAGCAAAGCTCAACTTTTCGCGTAAAAATTCAGCGTTTTTAGAGGTTAAGGTTTCAACCGTTTCGTTTTTTTGATTTTTGTAATTTTGTCTATATTTGTAACTACCTATTTGGAAATAAAGCAAAAACACAAATACAAATGTGTACAATCAAAATTCAAAGAAATATTTCAAAAAAAGAAAAAAAATATATAATTTTGACATAAGCGGCGGCGTTAATTCTCCATTCCATGTGAATGTTGCGCGAAAATTCACGTATTCAGCATTTGCGCCAGTTATGTCAAGTTTACGCTCATGAGAAGCCGGCCTAAGTTTTGAGAACAGTCAATTTCCACCTAGAGAAACGTTGGAGTTGGTTTATGCGGATGTGTGTGGACCAATGAAAATTCCTTTACTAGATAGTGCTCGTATTTCATTCTCTTCAAGAATGACTATAGGGTAGTGGACAGTTTTTTGAAATATTTTTCTTCTTCTTCTTCTTCTTTTCTTTCTTCTTTGATTTTAGAAAACAAAAATAAACGTAAAAAAAAAATTAACAAAGGAGCACGCACGGATCTTATGAGAAAAAATAAATTTCATGATTGTCATGAAATTGAAATATGTTATGCTTCTCGACCTCCTGAACATAAGTTCTCGTAGGCCCAAAAAGATCCTATGATTAGTTTCGGAGATACAGGACCGATAAAAACAAGTAGTACAAGAAAAATCTCCAGAATCTGCTGGTACATTAATTTAATTCATAACCAGAAATGACAAATTTTTGGCATTTTTCGACAAGTTTTCAACCTTCAAAGCTTCAGATGACATTACTTAGGCATTTTTCCACCCGTTTTTAACCTAGAATATGTCATTGCCTGAACTCAACATATTTTGAAATGTTTATTTTTTGTCAAAATTTTGTATGTTAACTCGGCCCTGTATCTCAGAAACTAATCATAGGATCTTTTTGGGCCTACGAGAACTTACGTATTTCAATTTCATGACAATCATGAAATTTATTTTTTCTCATAAGATCCTTTGTACCTATTTTAAACACTATAATTTGCCGCCCGGAAATTACGTCATAGCTGTTATGATAAGAGTGGCGAGAGCGCCAAATATATGTGATTGAGAAATTTATATTAATGGCTGAGAGGCAAACAGGAACGAGAATAAAAGTTCTAAGGACAGTCAATGGTCTAGAGTTTGTGAACAAAAATATTTTGCAAAACAAAAGTGTATGCCACCAACATACAGAAATTCATATACACCTTAACAGAATGATAGGGCTGACAGAGAAAATCGCACATTGGTAGAAGCTGCTAGCACAATGATAACTAATAAGGAAAATTTGGGAAACATCTTTGGGGGAGAAGCAAATTAATACTGCGTCTCATGCACTCTAAACCGTGCAGGACCAAGCCCTACAAAAATGAAAACTCCTTATGAACTATGGCATAAAAGAGAATATAAATTAGAAAACTTCAATATTGTTGGAAGTATAGAGTATCAGTACATGTACCGTACCCAAGGAGAAAAGATTGAAGTGGGACCCTAAAAATAAACAAGGATTTTTTCTTGGATATGGAGAAAATGTAAAAGGCTTTAGGGCGTATATTCCTCAGAAGAACAAAGTTGAAACCCATATACAGGATATTCAGAAAAAGACTATAAATCCGAAGCAGAAGATGTACAAAATGAATGAATACTGTGTGTGACATACACAGTGTCGAGAGTTCTGGAGATGATGAAATAGATTCAGATTTAAATGAAAAAATTGTGAATGCGAGATATAATTTGAGAAGGAATATAAGAAGAAACCCCAAATATGATGACTACGAAATGTACGTAATAAAATAGACTCTTGATGGCAGCGAGTGATGACAATGATGAAACTATGTGCTATGAGGATGCTATAGTAGTCAGGCGAACAAGTGGAGGCTGAGATACATGCATTGGAAGAAAATGAAACATGGGTGATAGTGAGTGAAAGTGATGTAAAAAGAGCTGTTATTCAGTGTATAATAGGTGTACAAAAATAAAAAAATGGATTAGGTAAGGTACCTAACAAAGTACCTACAAGACCAGATTGGTAGCGAGAGGTTTCCAGCAAACTGATTTGTATAATACACGTACTGATATTTATAGTCCTCTGTGAGAATTTTCTTAACTATTTGCAATAATTCAAACTACAAAGAAATTTTGGGAAATTTACCATTTAGGGGGAGAGTTATTTATTATACCACCATTGCTACGTATATGTTTCATATTTCAATTGTAAATCACCCATTATACCAATATACATTTAAAAATAGTAAGCTGGGAATTTTTGTAGTTCTTACCACAAGCTGGTTTAATAGTAGGTTTCAACGAAAACTTAAACGGCGTTGCAACCGGCTTGGGGGTGATAGCAACTGATTGAGGAGTAGCTTCAGGTTTCTGTGCTTCAGGTATAGACAAAGCATTGGGTGCCGGCAAAAGAGGCAAATTAGCTTGTTTACGGTATTTGTTGGCTTCGGGGGAGATTTCGCCTTTGAACGGTGAACCATCCAGAGCTAAAACATATAATTATTATGTACTTGAATGTTGAATGTAAAACTAATCAATTATTGTATGCCTTACGAGCACTTATACGAAGATTTTTCATGCTTAGGATTTTAAATTTTCCATTTTCATCTGTTGCGTATACTGTCACGTGATAAATTCCGTCTGCTGTGATGAATCCGAATTCTCCTTGTACGATGCCTTTGTCATCTGAAATTAAGCAAAAATTGTTATAATTGTAGATACATATATGGCAACAGTGTACCAATGGAATTCTGAAGTGTCTTTCCAGATTCTTCCTGGATCATCCTTCAGTTATTTTTTCATTCATCACTCGATACCGGAATATGATTGATTGAATTGAAAATATAAGGTTTTATAATGCTTTTCTATTGATCTATGAGAATCATTGTTAAAAATATTCCAGATTTAATTACCAAAAAGACCACAAGAAAAACATCTCAAACCAAAAGTGCCGTTTCGTGTTTCCTCTTAAAAAATTTCATAGTCTTTAATGACACCCTCCTTCAATTGAAATTCAGAATGAGAGTGCACTTTTAAAAACAATATTTAAAAGCTTTCCATAAAGTTGAATGACGTGACTAGAAATGTAAAACTTTTAAATTTTTGTAAAAAAAAACTGTCTATTCACAATCTGTAGTCCAAAGGTACAAGTAAAATTTATCACCTTCCAATGCTATTTGGATAGGGAAAGGTGATAAATTTAGCTGTACCTTTTAAGGATATAATTTCTGTTTCAATAATCAATGTTTCAAATCTTAAAAGTTTCTTCTACAAACAAGCATGTTTTTGGGCAAATTGTTTTTTTCGTGCCTTCGCCAACATGTCCATATAGAGATACTGGAGTATTTTAAAATTTCAGTCATGCTTTTATATGAACCGAACCTGAACCCGAAGGGCAAACGGCCCTTTCTCTAAACAAGAAAACCTTTTTACAATATTTTCCAGCCCTCTCTCTATAATGTATGAAAAGCTTTTAATAAACTGCGCCCTTTTATTCCATAGAGTTAATATTGATTTTTTTTACAATAGGCCCTATTGTGCATTGTTTGACTCTCTGGTAAAAATCCACCCTTTTCTCTATATATACTGTGAAAAGCTTTTCGGATTTTATAATAATGGATTTTTGACGTGTCGGAAAACATTTAAGAATAAGAAACGGGAAATATAATAAAGTAATTATTAATTTTGTTTTTGTGCAAAGGAAAATGAATAATGGATGTTTATTGAATAATTTAGATGATTAATAAGATAATTCCCACATAACAGTGAACGAACATTCATATTCTCAGAATATTCCCTCAAAGTGCTTTTTGGAATGTTCTTTTGGGAATGTTCAATGAATATTCTAAGATTGTTTCGATTGAAATATTCATTTTTGAACGTTCTATTTATATGTACTAGGAATGTTGCTTCTATGCACCTACCTGAAAGATTGTGCTGAGAACCTACTTTATATAACATTATTTGAATATTCCCATACGAACATTATTATAATGTACCCTAAAAAATGTTCTTTCGGCTAATATGTCTATCAAGTATTAAGAATATACCTACCAAGTTGTGCTGAGAAGTTTATGTAGGTAGGTACCCATGATAAGAATATTTCCATATTGTTCACCTAATTATCTAAAGTACCTACTCAAAAACTTAATTAAACAATTAAACAATAATGCTCTATCTAGAACCTACTAAGAATATTATAGGTATATTCTTTTTCTTTTGCTTTGTAGGACTTCCAAGAGAGGGAGCCACGCGCTATTAAAGATCTACATCTTGCCTCGCGTTTGAATCACGTTGGAACCTGTTTCTCTCAGTTGGCGTGCTTCGACTAGAGCATAACAAGCTCGAAACCAGAGCTTTGGTTAAACACTTGTGTTTTCCAGAGAAAGAGAAATTTTCCAACAATTCTTTCACTGCCTTTAATATAAAAGGACTGGAAGGAGCATTATTTGGAAAAGAAAATTAACATTCCAAGTATATCCTTAGAATCAAACAAGAATGTTATGTCTAGGATGCATATTGAGAATGATATAATATGTAGATATATTCCAAGAATATTTCAAGCATATTGGTATAATATTCTTTTGAGAACATAACTATAATGTCATAGAAACATTCTTTGAATATGAGAATGTACATTTCGAGCATATTTTTAGAATCAAACAGGAATATTCTTTTCAGGATGTACTGAGAATCTCATAGGTATATTCTAGGAATATTCCAATCGATTTCCCAGGAAGTTCTTGGGTATTGCAAACAGTATTTCTACAATCTTTTCTCAGAACATTCTCAGGACATCCGCAATGGTTTTGGCGAACATTCTAGGCACATTCCTCCCAAAAAAAGAACATTCTTAATACATTCTAAGGATGCAATTTTGTTATGTGGGTTCAATTGGATTTTGAAGGGTTTGAAGTAGCTTCCAAAAGATTCTAAAATTGATTGTTTATTCTTAAAATTGCTCAAATCTTTCATTTCTGCCAAAGAATTTCAAGTTTTTCCATCATATTATAATCCTTCAAGCAACTGACCTAATTTTCAAAAAGTTTGATTTTTAATACATAACAAAATTGTTGTTTTTGACAATTATTATTACCTTTCTTTTCATATCGATGTTGTTCTCCATCGATGGTAAATCCGAATTCGTAAGGACGGCCTTCGTCTCCTGTCTTTTTTTGACAGCTGGTCAATGTAAAAGCAAGGACAGCGAACAGAACGACCTGAAATCAAAGAAATTTTTGCAAAAAAAATTATGACATCATTTTATTATGAATCTTATGAAGGTTGCTTGATTATTATAATCAGTGTTAGTTTGTTGAACGATAATAATAAGTTAAACATTGAATATATTATTTATTTTAATTAAAATTTATTAAATTAAAGGAACAATGACTAATAATTACTAAAAAAAAATAGTCCAGCTGGATTATGAAAAATTTTATGCAAATCAAGTGGTTACAATACTTTTTTTAAATGATTTTTTGGTATTAAAAAGTTCCTTCTCTTGATGAAAATTTGAATAATTTTGTCGTTCTCAATCAAAATTATGTAAAAATCTACTAAAAATCAAGTAGTCACAAAGAGAGAATTGAATTTGATAATAATTTTGTTTATGATTTATATTTAATTTTGAATCGTAATTAATTATAATTAAAAAGACTTTTGCCGATAAATGGCAGAGGTTTTTTTAAAAAAAGAACCTTCAAAATGAAAGTGAAAATTATTAGTCAAACTTAGAAGTTGAAGATAAAAAGAATGGAAATTCTTGATCCCACTTTTTGAGGTGGAAAATTGAAGGTTTTCTATAAAATATCAAATTATATTAAAGTTTAAAATACATAATACCTATAAAAGACAATAATTATAGCTCCTTTCTATCATATTTTTCTGACCTTTATTGAATAAACAATACGTTATAGGCAAGGTAAAAGCACTTATTAAAATTATAGATCAAATACCTAAAAAACTCTTCAATTTTAAATAAATATTGTATATTTAATATTTGTTTAAATAATTAATAATATGCGGTTTGTTTGATCCCAATTTTAAAGCTTCCAAATATAAATCAACGACTTAGTTGAGCAATTTTTGACAGCTGTCTTAGTCAGAGATAAATACCACAGCATAAATACTATATAAACTGTCGTCTTAGTTGAATATGAAATTTTGACATTTAATGAGCTAGTAAGACAATTGACACCTGTCAAATGCCATTGTTTCAACAATTCGTAGATATTTTATTGTCATTTGACAATATGGTTTAGCTTCTAAAAGTTATGTCTTAAATGGAACTAGTTTATACCCAATTAATGTACCTATATTTTGAAAGTTTGAATTTGAAATTTTGACATCCAATGAGCTCATAAGACAAATGAAACCTGTCAAATGTCATTATTTCAGCAATTCATAGATATTTTATTGTCATTTGACAAAATAATTTCGCTTCTAAAAGTCATGTCTCAAATAGACAAGTTTTGCTCAATTATTAATGTATAAATTGAAAGTTTGAATTCAAAATTTTGACATTCAATGAGCTCGTAATACAAATTACTCCTGTCAAATGTCATTATTTTTAGATGTTTTATTGTCCATTTGACAATAGTACTGCTTCAATTGAACAACTTTTGACAGGTATGTCTAAGTTGAATTTAAAATTTTGACGTCCAGTGAGCTCATAAGACAATCGACATCTGTCAAATGCCACTATTTTGACAATTCTAGATGATGCAACGTTCATTGAACGTGATGGGTTTTCTTTCAAAAATCGTGCCTTAAATTAAATAAATTCTGACAGCTGTTTAAGTTGAGTTTGAAATTTTGACGTTTAGTAAACAAATGAGACAATTGACATTTGTTAAATATTTGAATTAAACCAGTTGACACCTGTCAAATAACATTATTAAAGCAGTTGCATTTAAACTTGATACTTTATTCTAAAATTGAACAAATTTTGACAGATGCCCAAGTTTCATTCTATGATTTAACATTTTATAAGTTTGGGTGCGTTTTCATTCTCATCCAATTTTACCGATGGATCCACCATTCTATGGCCGTCATTGTCATTTTCCATTCACTAAACAAAGATAGCTATTATATACTCATCGGTGAACTCACGAATGAGAATAAAAACGAGGGGTTTGTAAAATAATTGATTGACGTCAGTCAAATGTTATTATTTAACGGGAATTTTTTTAATGTACATTTTGGGTTGACGTTTCTGTCAAAAAAAAATCGTCACACCGACAAAAATTTGTAACAACTGTAATTTGAATTTGATACTTTGACATTTGACAACTACTTAAGCGTAAGGAAAAGTTAAAAATCGTGTCATTATGTTTTTATTTTACTTTATCTGAATCCATCTCTTACTCATTGAATTTCTCATATCGTTGTCTCTATTTTACTTTAATATTCTAGACACAAATGAACTAAACCGTTCAAGCGCCGAGAATAATTATTTGAATTCGTGTCACAAATTTTGTATCCTCTTTTCCCACATAACAAAATTGCATCCTTAGAATGTAATAAGAATGTTCTTTTTTTAGGAGGAATGTGCCTAGAACGTTCGCCAAAACCATTGCGAATGTCCTGAGAATGTTCTGAGAAAAGATTGTAGAAATACTGTTTGCAATACCCAAGAACTTCCTGGGAAATCCATTAGGATATTCCTAGAATATACCTATGAGATTCTCAGTATATCCTGAAAAGAATATTCCTGTTTTGTTCTAAAAATATGCTCGAAATGTATATTCTCATATTCAAGGAATGTTTCTATGACATTAAAGTTATGTTCTCAAAAGAATATTATACCAATATGCTTGAAATAATCTTAGAATATAATATATCTACAATATATCATTCTCAATATGCATCCTAGACACTTTTTTGATTCTAAGGATATACTTGAAATGTTAATTTTCCCTTCCAAATAATGCTCCTTTCAGCCCTTTTATATCAAAGGCAGTGAAAGAGTTGTTGGAAAACTTCTCTGGAAAACACAAGTGTTTATCAAAAGCTCCGGTTTTGAGCTGGTTATGCTCTCGTCGCGGAAAGCACGCCAACTCAGAGAAACAGTTTCCAAGGTGATTCAAACGCTAGGCAAGATGTAGATCTTTAATAGCGCGTGACTCCCTCTCTTGGAAGTCCTACAAAGCAAAAGAAAAAGAATATACCTATAATATTCTTAGTAGGTTCTAGATAGAGCATTATTGTTTAATTGTTCAATTAAGATTTTTGAGTAGGTACTTTAGATAATTAAGGGCCGATACTTTTGCTCTCGATTAACGAATTTGATACGTTGTCAAAGTTTTGCATGGACCAAGGTCTATATAAATATGATGTGGTTAGAGCACATTCAAAGCCCTGATTATTTTTAACGGCTGTCAAATGAGAGCAAAATACCGGCACTAAGTGAACAATATGAAAATATTATTATCGTGGTAACCTACCTACATAAACTTCTCAGCACAACTTGGTAGGTATATTCTTAATACTTGATACTGATACTGAGATATTAGCCGAAAGAACATTTTTTAGGTTACATTATAATAATGTTCGTATGGCAATATTCAAATAATGTTACATAAAGTAGGTTCTTAGCACAATCTTTCAGGTAGATGCATAAAAGCAACATTCCTAGTACATAAATAGAACGTTCAAAAATGAATATTTCAATCGAAACAATCTTAGAATATTCATTAAACATTCCTAAAAGAATATTCCAAAAAGCACTTTGAGGGAATATTCTGAGAATATGAATGTTCTTTCACTGTTATGTGGGTTATTTCCATCTCTTTTCCATTCATTGAATTTCATATATTTTTCTTTCTTACTCTGTTATTCTAGGCTTTCGATTGGCCAGGCAGAAAATATATACAGCGATTCAAGTACCAAGAATAATTTTTAAATTTTGTATCCTACTTTATTTCCTTCTTTCTCCATTCATTGAATTTTGTATATCTTTTTCTCTTACTTTGATATTCCAGGCTTTCCATTGGCCAGACACAAAAAATATAAGGTGATTCAAGCGCTAAGAATAATTATTTAAATTTTGTATCCTACTTTATTTCCTTTTTTCTCCACTCATTGGGTTTCGTATGGGTATATTATCTTTCTCTCTTACTTTGTTATTCTTCGATTCGCCAGGCACATAAAATATAGGGTGATTCAAGTGCTGATAATAATTATTTAAATTTTTTATCCTATTTTATTTCCTTCTTTTTCCATTTATTGAATTTCGTAATCTAATGAATTTCGTATATATTAACTTTCTCTCTTATTTTGTTATTCCTTGATTCGCAAGTGCCAACGACACCTGCCAAATGTCAATGAGCATGTCATTATTTTAACAATTGGTTGATGTTTTATTGTTATTTGACAATATAGTTTCGCTTCTAAAAGTCATGTCTCAAATAGAACAAGTTTTGCCTGATTATTAATGTATAAATTGAAATTTTGAATTCAAAATTTTGACATTCAATGAGCTCGTAAGACAAATGACACCTGTCAAATGTCATTATTTCAGCAATTCATAGATATTTTATTGTCATTTGACAAAATAATTTCGTTTCTAAAAGTCATATCTTAAATCGAACAAGTTTTGCCCAATTAATGTATAAATTGAAAATTTTAATTTAAAGTTTTGATATTCGATGAGGTCATAAGACAAATGACACCTGTCAAATGTCATTATTTTAGCAATTGGTGAATGTTTTATTGTCCATTCGACAATAGTACTGCTTCAATTAAACAAGTTTTCAGAGGTGTGTCTAAGTTGAATTTAAAATTTTGACATTCAGTGAGGTCTAAGACAATCGACATCTGTCAAATGCTACTATTTTGACAATTGTAGATGTTTCAACGTTCATTGAACGTAATGGTTTTTTTTTTTTCAAAAATCGTGCCTTAAATTAAAAATAGCTGTTTAAGTTGAGTTTGAAATTTTGACGTTAAGTAAGCTGAAAAGATAATTGATATCTGTCAAATGCTATTATTTTGACAACTATGGATGTTTTATTGTTTATTGGAATTATTGGTTATGGTTAATAATATTTTCCTTCAGAAATTCTCGAAAAACTCTCAAATAAATCAATTTTTGACAGGTGTCCATATCGGATTCAATCATTCGACAATCTAATAAATCAATTAACACATGTCAAATTAAATTATTTTAGCAATTATTGTATTGATCCTAATATATTTTGAAATTGAGCAAACTTCG